CGTTATCACTGAAACAACTGAGTGCCTTTGGTATGCGTTTCCTCCAAGCGTAATTAAAAGTACTATAGCTATGCAGGGTGATATTACCAAATCAACAGCCTTCCTACGCACAGAACTCCCTGTTAGGGTCGCAAACATCCTGCAAGAAATTCACTTGTTACCGAAGAAGCTCCTCACGACGCCATCGGCGGCTCTAGTAACCCGCTGGTACAGCAACATTTTGTTATGTCATTTTTGAGGTATGAGGACTCCTTCGATAACCTAGTTGACTACGAAAATATGAAACTAACGCAAAAGAGTTGCGAGGACTACCTGCAGGTTCTTGAAAAGATGCTCGACCGACATGACAAGGTAGTCGAGACGATGGCCTTTGTAAGTTACCATTTAACGCTGTGTACTATCTGCCAGGGAGTTATGGAAATGCGGGAAGCTCACGGCACCGACAATGCACTAGAAAATCAGATGCAGTACTTTCTGGACCGACTTTATACGATGCGAATTAGTATTCGTATGCTCGTTAGCCAGCATTGTAAGTTTGTACTTAGAGTATGATTTATACTTTTCCATTATAATGTGTTCAGTTTGCACTAGTGTGTAACCAACGAGTTATACTTGTTTACCATTACTAGATCTTTTTTCGGTCTCAGAATGTACATATTTCGCTAGTATGAGTACTAATCTCTATCTAGGTGGTATTAAGGATAACAATCGTTTACCACTTGTAGAATCGCGAAACAGAACGCGCCGAGTGCTGCAGTGATACGAGTTTACGTGGGCTCAGACTGATTCTAACGAGAAAAATGATCTTGCAACATTGATGTCGGTTGATAAGACAGCAATTTTTAGGTCTCCAGATGTCTGACTTATTTTAAAAGCCTCTAAGAAAAATCATTTTCACTCTTTAGCAGCCGTTTAATTTGTTTGGTCGGTTTAGCGTATTTTTTTTGTCGCACTGTTCTATCATATTTTATTTTGCTTTGCAGTGTTGGTGTTTGGCTCAGAATCTAATCACCCGAAAAGATTTGTTGGATGTATTGATCAAGACTGCGACGTTGTGGAGATACTAAAGGATGCTTACAGCGACGCGAAAATGCTGTGCGATCACTACTATGCAGATTCCCCTGAAATGAAAATATCTTTAGCAAACGGTATGCCATATTGAAGATTTCTCAATGACCACTTATTTGCCTCTAGCTGTCAATGGGTCAATAAAATTCGTTTATGTTCCATCGCACCTGTACCATATTCTCTTTGAGCTGTTGAAGGTAAGTAAAGCTGGAGATTCTTACGAATTTATTTGAAATTGTAACTTCTATTCTTACTATTTTATACGCGCGTTTGTCCTGGTACGTCTCTGTTAAATCGTGCCGATGTGTTCTGTGCAGAATTGAATTCCTAATTAAGGCGCTGTTCCATGGGGAGAGATTTTAATGTTCTCATCAATGTTATTTTTACTTCCGTGCCCTTTTGTTTATTACAATAGTCAATATAGACTGCCTCCCTAATTGATCTCGATTTATCTTAACAGTTAAACATTGTAAGGGAGTTTCTATATGAAAGAAACTTAATTTGGTTGTCCAAGTTAACGTTTCTTGATTTCAACGACTCACACTTACGTAAAAATTTGTGTTGGAATCGCGTTCAGCGACTGAGTTATTTACTTGTATTTATACTTGGCCCGCTGACTGCATATAGTGATCGCCTGGATATTTGTACTTGATGCGGCTGTGACAATGCCTGATCCAGCCGACCTCAGTGATGTCACGCACTGTACCTCCACGCGTGAGGATTATCTGTAGGAGATATGGAAAGCTCCACTCATTCTCTTCTTCAGCAACGGAGACCGAAAACGGAAGGTTCAGATTTTGACGAACGGTGTCGGGTCAGGTGTTGAGTTGCCCTCCTCTTCGACGCCTCCAGGCGGGCTGCGGCGCAGGATCGTGGGCAATATAACAAAGCTCGTAAGGCGGACGACGAGAA